GGGAGGGACTTGGGGGCTGTGGGAGGAGGGAGAATGTCTGGTCCCCAGAATCATGCTGCGCCCTGAATGGGGAGCCAGCCCCCACAAGTCCCCTGGCTCAGTGCAGGACCACTCAAGGGGATGTGCTGCCCGTGGGGATGTGAGCTGAGGGGTGTCCTCTGGGCCCGTAGAGTCCTGGTGGCCTAGGTGGGCCTGCTTACCCTTGGGGCCGGGGCCTGGGCCTGGGGCGAGAGCACTCACCGAGGTGGTAACCTGCCCACCGCCAAGCCGCCGACGTGCACTCCTTCTGGAAAGAGCTGGGGAGGCGTCCCGGGCGGGGGGCCTGGAGCCCACGGTGGAGGCCCCCTCGTTGTCCAGCGGTGACAGCCCTGGGTGTGTGGGGCCGTGTGCACTGTCTGTGCTGTCTCCCGAGGTGCGGTGGGAGGACTCGGAGCTCCAGGTGGCTGTGGACGGAGGGGCCATGTCAGGGTCCTGGGCAGCCACCGCCCCTCCCCTCTGGTGCTGTGCCCATCACCCTTCTGCGCTGGGCGGACTGACGTCTGGGAAACGCCAGGCCGGCTCAGTTCTCAGCAAGGCACACACCGTCTCTCCTGCCTGTCTTTTCTACGCCCAGCACAGGGGGTGTGCTGGAGCCTGTAGGACATGGCATTGGGGAGGAGAATCCCACCAGGCAGCTTGCCCTCAACCACAAAGGCCTGGTCCGTGTGCATGGCCCCCTGACTCCCGTGAACCCAGGAGAGAGACTGCCCTCTTAACTGAGACATTCACACGTGGAGACACAACCACTGGCGCGTGGACTCTGGGCCGTAGGTCCCCGGGTGACCGAGCAGTTGGCGCTGGACCGCCAAGTGAAAGGTTAGTGGACGGGACCCAACCCGGCGGCACCACACAAGAAAGGCCTCAAGACCTGCTTCTGTAAAGGTTACAGCCAGGAAACCCCCGGAGCAGGTCTAGTCCAACATGTGGGGTTGCTGTGAGTCAGGAACCACTCAGCAGCACGGCTCAGGTCCAGCAAAGAGCGGGGCTGCACGGGACTGGGCAGCGTTTCGTTCTGCTGTACGTGAGGTCGCCGAGTTGGAGATGACTCTATGGCACCTAACAACAACAACAAAGCGACAGGACTTAGGACAGCACAGGGGTAGCCAGACCAATGGAACAGAGTAAGCCAACAATCCCAAAGCAGAGCCGTACTGCTCAGTGGGTTTGTTGGTGGTGGTGGTGGTGTGTGCCGTCGAGTCGGACCTGACTCATAGTGACCCCTCCTTGGGTTTCCAAGGCACTATCACTATGGAAGTAGATTGCCCAACCTTCCTTCCAAGGAGTGGATGGTGGGTTTGAACAGCCAGCCTTCTGATTAGCAGTCAACTGCCTTAGGCACTACACCACCAGAGTTTAGAAGTCTCAAAAGCGAGGGTGCCAACTTTGTTCTTCTCTCTAGGCCCTTCACACGTCCATGGGCATTTTGGAATTGGCTTATCTCCTCCCTGCCCTCATCCCCATCTGTTACTTGAAACTACCATGAGCCGCCAGAAGAATGAACACATCTGTCCTGGAGGAAGTGTAACAGGAATGCCCCTTGGAAGTGAGAATGGCCAGACTTGGTCTCACCTACTTTGGTCATGTTGTCAGAAGGGACCATTCCCTGGAGAACGATGTCATGCTTGGTAAGGTGGAGGGTGCACGAAGGAGGGGAAGGCCCTCAACGAGATGGATTGACACGGTGGCTGCGGTGATGGGCTCAGGTACAGCAGGGATCGTGGAGGTGGCGTGGGACCAGGCGGGGTCTCGTCCTATTGTACATGGGGGCGCTGAGTCAGAATCAACTCGAGGGCACCTAACAACAACCTTCCGTACGGATCATTTCCCTCGTGCTGCTTTTACGAGTTCCCATTTACCGCTGACCGAACCCCAGTTAGGGTGAGCTTTGCTGTACTGTTCTTCTGATTTCTTGCGCTTGGGGTTTAACAAGCCTGTATGCGTGGATTTACAATGTTCGTCAAATGTGTAAAATGCTCGCTTATTTCTTCCAGTATTTTTCTGCACCCCTGCCCTGGGAATCGCAGTGCAACGTGCACCAGGCCGCTGGGCCGTCCGACAGCCCTCTGCTCTCCTCCCATTTGGGGCTCCCTCATCTCTGTGTTTCATTTCAGGGTTTCTCTTGACGCGTCTTCAAGTTCACTGATGTTCGTTTCTACCCAGTCTGATCTGTCAATCCCACCCAGTGTATTTTTCCCGTTAAATATTATAGTTTTCATCTCTGTAAATTTCATCTCAATAAGGTCTTTTGTAAGGAGCTCTCGTGGCACAGCTATTAAGGCATTCGGTTGCTAACCAAAAGTTTGGTGGTTGAAACCCACCAGCCACTCTGTACAAAGACGGGGCAGTCTGCTTCCATAACATCTACAGCCTTGGAAGCCCTATGGGGGTTGCTGTCACTTGGAAATGACTTGATGGCAGTGAGGTTGGTGAACGTCTTTTATATTTTCTGTTTTCATTTAGTTTTGGTCTGGGATGCAGGGAGGACGGTTTTCACGGCCGTGACGAAGGGTTTTCACACCCGTGTCACTCCTGGGCTGTTCTGACTTGATCGCTCATCCTCTGTATCAGGCGTCTATTCTCGGGCTGCTGCTTACGCCCGATGACCCTGTTTCGTGCTTTGTGAAGGTACCTCGTCGGGTACCTCTGGATCCCTGTACATCTCTCTGCGCTTTGTTTGGGATGCAGTTCAGTTGCTTTGGAAACGCCTGCTCCCCATGGCTCTGGCTGGTATCGTTTGGCAGATGGATCAGGATCAGGCTCAGGCTCTATCCGGGGCCCGTGAATAACGAGCCTCTCCACTGGGCCTGTTCTCTAGTCCATCGAGCAACGGGAACTGTTCTCTAGTCCTCTCTGATGTCTCCGCTGCCTTGGCAGCTTCCTCACACCCGTGCTGGTTGGTGCCCCACTGGACACGACGGGGCAGCTGTGCTCGGTGCCGGGCCTCTCTGTGCAGCGCCCCCTCCCTGGCTCCTCCTTGCAGAGGGGCTGGCAGCACTCAAGGCAGACGACGGCAGTGAGGTCCCCCCGCTGCTTTCCCGTCTCCCAGGGGTCACGGCCCTTCTTCCCCAGTGCCTGTGCCTTGCAACCTGTTTTCCCATCTAGTTTTGTTTTTTGGGGGGGAGGAAGCTGTAAATCTGGTCCCCGTTACTCCCATCTTGGATGGAAGTGAAGGTGTATTTCTTTTTAGTTAAAAATAAAATTTATTTGAAACCTTTTGGAAGCATGTAACATCAGGTGAGAGAAGTGAGCCCGTCTGTGGCATGCCCAGCTGACTCGGCTTCAACCCAGAGCCCTCCAGCAGCGGGGCTGCTGTGGCCGGCTCCCCTGACGGCCAGGTCCACTCACTCGTGGAGGGCTGGCTGCCCGTCTCCTGCTCTAGCTTGCCCTCCTCGATGCGGGCTCTGACGTCACAGGGCCAGGGGCAGAGGGCAGGCAGCCCCGGTGACCTGGGGTACACGTGCAGGTTTAGTGAGCCCAGGACAGACGAGGACTGGCTACTGGAGGAAGAGGTGCTGCTGTCCGAGATGGTGGAGTGGGGCCTCTTGAAGGGGCTGGCGTGGTCGAACGAGGACACGGCGATGGAGGCACGTGACCGCGACTCTGGAAGCGGACAGAAGAGCAAGTCAGTCTGGCCTCACGCACAGCCACCTGGGCTCAAGAACAAGGTGGGGGACAGGAGAGCTGGCCGGGTCCTCCAGCGGTCGCGCCAGGCGTGGGCCACAGCTGACACCCAGCCCACCAGCTGGGCCCACAAGGGCCATGCTGTTGGGCCTGAGGCCTGAGATGGCAGGACAGAGGGAGGGTGAGCCCTGCAGACACTACCTGTCCCCTTCATGATGTAATCAGTGGCCCGGTCACTTATGGCGGCTTCACTGGGCTTGATGTCCATAAATGGCTTGTTGCCTATCCCCATGGACACCATTTCTTGCATTCTGAGTTCTAAAACAGAAGGATGTGTGGACATTTTACACAGCAACGCCTTGGGTTTAATACCACCACTGGAAATGGTCTGTGTCCCTGACACTGCCCAAACAGGTGGCCTAGCCCCCGGCCTCTGAGCATCCAGGGGGACCAGAGGTGCCAGGGGCACTCCATTCTGGGACATGCATGTGACGTGACCTCAGAGTGGCCTCTGAAGGAAGCCCAGGGAGTAGACCCAGGACAAGGAGGATGTGGGACCTCAGCACTGGGTGGAGTGAGAGGACAGAGGCCCCGAAGCATGTGGTGTCTGAATGCTGAGAGGAGACCAAGCCTGAGTGTGAGACTCAGGATGGAGTACGTCCTGGGAAACTAAGCAAAGAAAAATCAGAACATTATTCATTGTGAGGAAAAGCTGTATGAGGGTAGGAAATAAAATAATACTGCTGGCTTCAGTTCTGCGTGTTTACATAGTCGTGATAAATACACATCAAATGATGTTCTAACACAAATACTTTCAAATTGTTTTGGTAGAATTGGAAGATACAAAGTGTGTGTGTTGCATGTAATAGAGTTACCACTTCACCTCCCAGACTAGAAGGCAATGAGTAATCTGTAAAGTTGATTAATAAGGAGATAGGTGCCAATCTTGTTAGACAGAGGTAGGAATTGGGCGGGCAGAAGTACCACCATGCTGCACAGAGAGGCAGGTTCTGCAGATGACAGAGAACAAGGCAGGACACTGCACTTTTTCTTTACAGTTTTAAAGCACTATTTACTTTTACAAATATGCACATGGATGGTGGACAGCTTCCACTCCTGGCCATGTGGGTTCACCTGTCTAGGTCTCAGCTTCCTGCTGAGAACAACCAGGAAAGCTAGTTGTTGGAACATACATTTGAAGGTATTATGACCAAGGTGACCAAGCCTCCAAGGGCCAGTATTCTGGGTAGAAATGAAGGTCAGAGACATGACCCTGACTAATATTAGACACCTTTCACCCTCAAGGCATTCGCTGGTGACTAAAAAGCAGAGACTCAGCAGAGAGCTGAGGCCAAGGAGCCCAGAAGCCCAGGGATGTCAGCAGTCTCACAGGAGATAGAGTCTGGAATTCAGGGCTCACGAGGAAGGAAGGGCCCAGGAAACACCCCAGAGTTTCAATGGGGACCTGTAAAGTGAGTGAAAAGACCTTACCAGGTGTAAAGACAAACCAGAAATAGAGAGGCCCCCATAACAGTCTGAATCAGTCTTCAACCACTCAGGCCCAGACTAGATTAACCCCTCTGTCCCTGCTCCAACCATAGCAGTGACCCCTCTGGAGTGGGCACAGTATCAGGCATTCCAGAGAAAAGACCAAATGACTAGAATCCAATACAAAAGAAACAGATGAATGAAATACTAACAGGAGATCTAGCGATTGGAGGTATCAGACAAGGGCTTCAGGATAAGTAGGATCGATATGGTCGGGACACAGACAACAGGATGGAAACAGATCACACCAACAGATACCTGAGATCTCTAACGCAATCAGATGGAAATGATACAACTTAAAATACGATAACTGAAACCAACAGCTCAATAAGTAGGTTCAGTTGTGGAGTGGATTAATGAGCTTTAAGGTAGTAGAAAGTGTCTAGACTGAAGCATGGAAAAAAGTGATAGAAAATACAAAAATAAACAGAGATATAAGAAACCTTGTAAGAAGGTCTAACACATGTATAATTGGGTTCCAGGAGGAGAGACGAGAAAGAACGGAGAGAAATATTTGAAGATACATATAAATATTCCAAGACTAATTACAGAGTCAAGAAGCACTAGGAGCCCCCCCCCCCAAAAAAATTCACTGCCATCAAGTGAATTCCTACTCATCGTGACCCCCATAGCATTTCCAAGGCTGTAAGTCTTTACAGAAGCAGACAACCTCATCTTTCTCCTGCAGAGAGGCTGGTGGGTTCACACTGCCAAACTTGTGCTTAGCAGCCCAAGCCTTAACCACAGCCCCGCCAGAGCAGGGATAAGTACAAAGACCACCAGCCTTGGGCAGTTAGATTAGAACTGCTTGTAGCAGACTGTGTCTGTCTCCTGCCCATATGGCTGGCCGCACCCTAGAGGGCAACCACAGAGTTACACGTGGCAGTGGCTTCCTCAGCCTCTCTGCCCAGGGTGTCCTCCGGCTTTGAGAGTGTGCTTGGTATGTGTGTGGGGCAGGATGGAAATTAATGTCCCCAGGATGACCCTTGCTCAGCAAGGGAGAAGAGTGGGTAGACAAGCACCCAAGACTCCCTGACCCTCAGTGGGACGATGCTGAGGGGTCTTCTGCCCAGTGTCTCTGAGGGTCCCCAGTGGGATCCTTCTTATCAATGCATCCTCTCTGGCTTTCATGTCTCCCATCTCACTTCCCTACTCTCTCACCAAAAAGTGAGATAAACAGGAAACAGTGTGAAAGGTAGATTTATACCCCCAGTACATCAGTAATGCCATTAAGTGTAAACACACTGAGTCCAATTAAAAAACTGGATAAAAAAGAATACATGCTACTTATAAGAGGCACATCCTCAACAGAAGGGCATCGGAAGATTCCAGGGAAAATGACGGAACAATGCATATCACGTAAACACTAAGAAAAGAAAGCTGGTGAAGCTCAGTCAATAACAACGTAGCCATAAAGGCATTACTAGAGACAGACATTTCAAACTGAAAAGGGCTGTCCATTTCTCCAGCAAGACAGAACATTCTAGTTTGACTGACAGCACCTAACCTTAATACGTGCTATATTAAGCAGTAATCAACAGAAGACAGGGAGAAATGGACAAATGAAATTTACATCATGAGAGATTTCAACATGATTTTCTTAGTAAGTGGCACAGTAAGCAGACAAAAAGCCAATCAGTGTACAGAAAATTTAAACAACACAATTTTAAAAATGCCCCCAGGACAATGCACCCTACAATTGCAAATGCACTTACAGCAGTGACCAACATGCTGGGCCACAGAAAATGTCAAAGGATTGAAGTTGTCATGTGTGTCCTCTGCCCAGAGTGGCACGATGCTGAAGATCACTATCAAGATGGTAACCAGAAGATCTTGGAAATTAAGGAATTCATTTCTAAGTAGTCTTTGAGCCCAAGAAGAAACCAAAGTAGAAAGCAGAAAATGCGCAGAAGTGAATGATGATAAACGTATGACGTGAAAACTTGTGGATGCAGCTAAGGCCACACCTAAAGGGAAATGGATAGCCCTGAACACACATATTAGGAAAGAAGAAAGGCTGGATGCCAGAGATCCAAGAAACTAGAAGAAGAACAAACGCAGCCCCAAAAAGTAGGAGGAAAAGAATAAAGGTAAGAGTGGAAATTAATGAAAAAGAAAACAAATGTATAATACAGATAATCAATTAAACCAAAGTTCTCGCTGAAAAGGCTCTTAAGACTGATAAACCGTGACCAAACTGGAGGAGAAGCTGAGAGAGAGGTACAAGGGGGCAGCACCAGGAGCGAGAAAGGGCATGGCTCTGGAGATGGCTGCAAAACACAAGGGCTTTAACCCACTGGCTTGACAGTGGGCCGAGTTGCCACTGCTGAGCTAGAACTCAGTCCAGCATGTCCCACATGCACCCTGCCCCTTGACAAGCAGGGTGGACACCTGCCAGAAGGGAGGGCCCGTGCGCGTGCCCCGCATTGGCAGGCCTGCATGTGTACACACTGTGTTAGGTGCTGGCTCAGTTCTAGGTGCTTGAGGTGCACAGACAACAAAACAGACAAAAATCTCCACTCTCAAGGTGTGTGTGTGTGACCGATGGGCCACAGATGCACAGGTTACAGGGTACGTCAGAGGGGCGAGTGCCGGGGAAGAGAGGGAATGGGCACTGGTGCACTCAGGAAGGCCTCCCCGAGAAGGTGAGGGCACAGACCAAATGTACATCCCGGGGGGTAGGTCCAGGCAGAGCACGCAGCCGTTACTGGAAGCCGAGGCCTGGCCAGGGGCGAGGTGCTCCTGTAGGGGCTGGCTCCAGCCAGAAGGGGAATGGCAGCCACTGTTGTCTGGGCTTTGGGAGGAGAGAGCAGCCAAGAAGCTGGACACACTCTTGGTGGGAGGGGTTGGTGGTGTGGGCCACGTGGTGGCAGCAGAGAGCGAAGAGGTGGCCACAAACAGAATGTTGCCATTAGAGGCCCAGGGGTTCCCCAAAGGGGGTGTAGGATCTGCTGCCTGAGGAAGGGGAGGGAGGACTTGGAGAGGGCAGGTTTGGGGGGGTCAGGAGCTCACTTGGGACCAAAGAAAACAATCCCACTGCTGTGGAGTCCATTCTGACCCACAGCGGCCCTAGAGGACAGAGTGGAACTGCCCCACAGGGTCTCCAAGGCTGTCAATCTTCACAGAAGCAGAGCCCAAACCACACCCACTGCCTGGAGTCCATTCTGACCCACAGCGCCCCCAGAGGACAGAGTGGAACTGCCCACAGGGTCTCCAAGGCTGTCAATCTTTATGGAAGCAGATGGCCTCATCTTTCTCACAAGGAGCAGCTGGTGGATTCGAACTGCCGACCTTTCAGGTAGCAGCTGAGCGTTTTAACAACTGTGCCATCACAGTTCCTTTTGCTTGGGACAGTGAGTTTGAAATGACAGTTGGGCTCTGTGGGAGGCGAGTCTGGAGTCTAGGGTGAGGTCTGGGTGGAGAGGTCCTTGGGGGCATGTCATCATCTTGGCGGAAGTCACTGACCCTCGAGCACAGTGAACCGTCCCTGTCCCCATGTCAAGGAGGCAGGATGAGTGGGGGAGGCCGGGGGTAGTGCACGCGGCAGGAAGAGAAGCAGAGGATGGGTCCTGGGCATAGGGACCCTCCATTGTGGGGGATCATGGGTGGTCCTGACCCTCGCAGGGCCATTGGCTGTCCAGGCTGTACTTGTGGGGGGCCCGGGGGAGGCGGGACAGATTGGCCTTTGTTTTCAAGGTGCAGTCAATGTGTCCACTCCCTGTGTCCCCTCCCTGCCTCATGTACTCCCAGCCCCCACCCTGCATACCTGCCCCGTCTGTAGCTCCTGTGCACCCCTCCCTGGGCCCCTCCTAGCCCCTTGTGTCCATCCCCCATCCCCCACCCTCCATACACTGCCCCTCCCGTTCCCCACTGTGTCCCTGCCCCTACCTGTGTCTCCTCTTATCCCTGTCTCCCCTACTCCCTGCATAGCACACCCCCTTCCCTGTGCCCGTGGACCCCTGCCCCCACCTGCCCCTCCCCGTCATGCCCCGTGGACCCCTGCCCC